CATGTTCTCACTTATAAGTGGGAGGTAAACAATGTGTACACATGGACATAGAGTATGGAATGATAGACTCAGAAGGGTAGGGCGGGGGGGTGACAAGAAATTACTTGTGGGTAAAATGTACATGATTCAGGTGACGGATACTCTAAAAGTTCTGATTCACCACTACACAATCTATGCATGTAATACAATTACACTTGTACCTCATAAAGTTATACAAACAAAAAAACTGATTTAAAAAGAGTTGATTTCTTTGAAGTTTTCTCCTTACACTACTCCTGTCACCCTATACACTACTCTGGTGAATAGTCCAAGAAATTTACTATCTTAAATTAGAATATTAAATTGTGTTAGACCTGTCCATTTGTTACAGGTTGAAATGAGGCTATTTTGGTTACATTAGAAGAAACATTTAGAAAAGGCTTTAAAACTTGCACTGGGAAACTTTCTTTGTAATTGAATCAGACTAAATGTAGAAGCCACTTGAATTTAAAAGTGCATATTTTTTCTTTCTCCCCCTTCACTGCCCTTTGATCTAGTAACTGTTACTGGTACTGAAGGGAACACAACCACCTGAACGGAGTCCTCTGATAAGCAAGAGATACAAAAAAACCTGCACATCCCTGGAAAAGCTTCCACTGGACCTAGATAAGAAATGGGCCTGCTGAAACTCCCAAAAACTCAGAAATATATCTGTTCCCTTGGTCTTTAGATGACAACTACTTTCTTTCACTGTTTTGTATTAATTTTATGTATAATGTTTATCTAAGTCTAGTGGCCCAGAACTCCCAGAATAAGCAAATAAATAAATAAACAAAACTGAAACCAACTGGAAAGTATATAGCCCCAAATTGTTTAAGGTATTTTAACTTAGAAGAATGGCTAGGATATCCCATATATATAATAGGAGCTCCAGGAAAAGAAAACAGAAGAGAAGAATTAATCTAAGAAATCAAAGGGTACACTGAGAATATCCCATATACTTCTAAAAAGAAAAAATAAACAACTAGATCAGATACAAAGAATTAAGAAGTAGGATGGTTTTGGATTCTCAATAGCTATACAGGAAACAAGAAAACAATGAAGCACTGACTCCAATATCTAAATGACAATAGTCTTCAACTTTCATTTCTATATACAAGTATGAACACAGAATGTCATCTTCAGAAACACAGTATCTCAAAAAACTTATTTTCCATGCCTACTTTCTCAAGAAGGTACTGAAGGATATGTTCTACCAACGAACAGAGTAAATCAAGAAAAAAAGAAGACACACTATACAGAAAACTGGAGATGTAATGCATGAGAGAAGCAAAGGGAAACCTCAGGAGAACTCCTCACATCAGAGGGCAACTAATTCAGACTAGAACGGTGCATCTCAAAAGATAGTCATAATGAGGGCTGTCATCTCCAAGATCCCAGCAATTCTTAATGTAAGAATAGAATGTCTAGGAAATAAAAAGAGGAAATAGAATAATCAAATGTTTTGGTCCCTAAGAAGGCAGGAGGAGATGGGATATGATTAAAAGTTGAGGTATCCACAAAAAATTTAAAAATTAGTCAAGTGTAGTGACATGCTCCTGTAGTCTCAGTCACTCAGGTGGCTGACACAGGATTGCTTAGGCCCAGGAGCTGGAGGCTGCAGGAAGTCAAGATTGTACCACTGCGCTCCAGCCTGGGGGCAAAACTCTGACTAAAAGAAAAGAAAATAAAGTTAATTAGTTAGAGGCAGTGGGATATCTGAGCAAGGTTAAGACTGCTCCACTGGTTCTACTATTAATTTAGAATCATGAATCTGCTCTGTTGGAATTTTGCTTCACAGCAGTGGCTGGCTACTTAGAGAAGCAAGTATTTGGTTATCTGGGTTCACCAAAGTTGGGATTTTCTTTCATTTCATTTACAGAAGGGCAAAAATAAGAGTATAGGTTAGATATTATTTAAATAATGAACTTTAATCAGAATAAAGAAGAAAATGAGAAAGGATAACATACCTAAAGTGATTAGGATCATGCCAAGGCAATATTGAGCAATAAAAAATGATAGCTGCTATTATTAGTAATCACAGTCCTCTAGCAGTAAGCGATTTCATTATTCTAATTTGCAATTATCTCTATATATCTCTCTATTCTACCATATTGAGCTCTTGAGAATGAGTAGTGTCTTACTCATCTTTGCCTCTTCCCAAAGCTTCACCCAGTAGTTAGCACATGATTGACTATTAAATGTGTAAGACTACATCAATGAATCAAATCCCCTGCTTCCACATTAGCCACATTTTTTTAAAGATTCTAACTTATCCCATTAATATCAGTTCGGAAAAATAGATTATCTCCAAGAAAAGGCACCTAAGGGCCACTGTTAATTCAAAGGAAATTTACTAAGTAGCTAATAGTATGACTGGTGGGAGGTTTCCAGTACTGCAGACTATAGAATCAACATGAGGAAGAAAGTGAGTTAATACATATTACATGAAAATTGAGATTTTTTTTTCATTTTTAAGGGGCAAGAGGGACTCTTGTCTCTATTTTTAATCAGTTTAATACCATACAATGTTTCATTCAATAAATAATTTGAAGTACAATCCACCCAATGCTGATCAAATATATCCATGAGGATTTCAAAGTAAATTCAAGAACTTATAATAATCTGAGAGCTGGCCAGGTATATTAATTGTCTCTAGGTTTTTTTCGGCAGAGAGCCAATCCTCAACATAATAATGTACTTTCCCTGTGAAGGTTATCTTTTTTGGCTGTGGATTCGATTTTTAAAAACAAGGATTTTATTTTTGCTGCTGCTTAAGCTAATATAATATTCATTTTTAAATGTTCATAGGAAAAATATATATAGCTTTGGTATACATATACAGGATATAGAGAATCACAATCTTAAATGATTAAAAACCATCTTTGTAAACATGTTGTTTGAAACTGAGTGTATACATATCTGTTTCCCTAAAGAAACCATGTTAGAATGGGAGGCCAAGTCTCCAGTTGGTCCCTGTAAGTATGAAGCACTGTGTAAACACCTAAACATCTGGATCCAACACTTTATGGAAAATGGATACAAAGTTCTCATCTAGGATGTCAAAACAATTACTTTTCTGTCTATATTCTAACCTGTATTCTAACCGGTTAGAATATAGAAGAGAAGTCACAACAGGATAGAAGTAGTTAGGAAAAGGAAATTTTAGGTAGTGAATGAAAAAAGAAAGGAAAAACTTTGCTAGAGGATATTTCATAGTCCAGCGAACTCCAACATTCCTAATTTTCCCTGAAGGTCCAAGGAAATGTCCTTCTCCACTTTCATGGAAAGAACTTGTAGTTTCTAGCCAGAGTTTCTCTTTCCCAGAGCTACTACAGAAACAGAGCACCTGCTCTGGCTACATCTCCATTCTCAATTTGCTGATTCATAATGTACTCAATTCAACTACAGGAATGTGCTTACTGGTCATTAAGAATAATACATTTGAGAAGGAAGAATTTATAATAAAAGAGAAAGAATAATAAAATGTTTGAGATCTTGAGAAATCAGGAGAGAATGAGATGCAATCCAAAGCAGAGCTTGTCTGCCAGCAACAAGGGGGAAACCTGGCAGAAGGTTAAAAATATTTTCTTTTCTTCCATCCCTTTCCATTTACTTCAGTGAAAATTAAAGATACACTATAGGTGATATAAACATAGAAAGAAGAGATCAAGTTTGGGCACACAAACTGTAATCTAATCTATTTGCATTATAAAGAAATACCCAGAGTATACATCTTCATATCACTAGTAGACATTTTTTTGTTTGTCCCAGAGGCAGCTCAAAATCATCAAATGGTAACACACAATTTTATTTTTATTCTACAAATTAACGATAAAAATCATAAAATTTTTGAAATTCCAAGTTAAAAAAATTAAAAACAGTCACATAATTATCATCAGACATGGTTGATGGCCAAAATTCTGGTTAATAAAAAATTCAGGATTGGCAGTAGTGGGAAACTGCCAGGGGAGGGAGGACACACTCATTAACAAGGGTACCTGCATAACATATACTTAACCCTGAGTTGTACCCCACATATCTAAAATAAAAAATTTTTTTAAATTAAAAATAAAAAATTCAGGCTAAGACATATACTATAAACATTTACTTTTTAATAAAAATAAGTATTCATTAAAATATACTTTTTAATAAAAATAAATCTTTTGATAAAAATATTTTTGTGAAACTTTAAAAAATAAAAATACTTTTTAAAACATAAGAATACAACCTAACAAAAAAAAAACGATGCTGAAATATCAGTCTTTCTCTGAAGATTCAGAAGGTATTTAAAGATTCTACCTAGCTTCAAAACTTTGATACTAATTACCTACGTCTCAGAAAGAACACTGAAGCAGTATCCCCAGTTTATGAACTACTATCTCATTTCTTATATCAATCTTATCTTATATTTTATATATCAGTAACCACTAGACAACACATATTTGCCACAGCTAGGAAATAACACAATCTTTTACTGTGATTTAGCTATAAATATTTTCTTACACTAAAAATTTATTTCAAATTATCAAGTATATTCCAATGATACACAAAGTAGCTTGGCTACTATTATTCAAAAGACTCAATCCCATATGCCCAACATCTAATCCATGAGTTGCTTTGGTTTTTGTGTTTTTTTTGGTTGTTTTTTTTTTTGAGTTGGAGTCTCACTCTGTTGCCCAGACTGGAGTGCAGTGGCCGCTCCTGGCCACCGCAGCCTCGACCTGCTGGGCTCCGGCGATCCTTCCTCCTCAGCCTTCCGAGTAGCTGGAATTACAGGCATGCACTACCATGCCTGGCTGATTTTTTGATTTATTGTAGAGAGGAGGTCTCGCTGCCCAGGCGGGTCTCGAACCTGCAGACTCAGGCAATCCACTCACCTCAGCCTCCCAAAGGCACGGGATTACAGGCTGAGCCACCGAGCCCAGCTTGCTTTTGTTTTTAATGATGCAAAATTATCACAGATATTAAAACTATATTACCTTCATAATGTTAACTAAATCTGTTTGATAGTAGCGATCCTGATGTGCATTCGCTGCTGCTAGCGTAAGAAGATAATCATTCCTTGCGTGGGTAGCTTTGGAATTACATTCAGATCGCCGGGCTTTTAACTAAAACATAGTAAAAGAAAAAGAAAAAAATCAGTGCAAACTGATATTGTATGGTAAAACACCTAAGAATTCCACCAAGAATAAAGGTAAACAAATGGGAAAGACATCTGTAAGTATATAAAAATTATTAATCACTACTGAGGAATGAAACAGTGACTAGAACTTACATAAGGCAAGAGCAATTTCAAATATATGTTAATTATGCTTAACATACATGCAAAGCTTTCTAGATAAAACTATTTTGCTCATTTTATTCAGATGGGAAAATAAAGCTTCTGAAATTAAGTCAGTTGCTTACTTTTTTCTTATCTTTTTTTTAAAGTATATTTTATTTTAAAGATTTGGGGTACAATTCAAGATTAGGTATATAACTGGTCATCATACAAGTAAAGTCTGAGCCTCCCTTTGGTCCCCACTCTGCCTGGTTTGAGATCAGGTACCCTTATTAATATAATGTGTTATGTTACACCTCCCTTCCCTGGCATATTTCGGCTACCCTTTCCTATAGTTTTATGGTAAAAGTTCAGGATCTGCTTACGAGTGAGAACACATGATACTCAGTTCTTTGTTTCTGTGATAAATCACTGAGTATTATAGACTCTAAATCCATCCAAGTGGCTGCATAATATTCCATTGTGTATATGACCATATTTTGTATCCAGTCCAGTTTCAATGGGCAGCATGGTTGTTTCCACGTTTTTGCTATTGTAAACAGTACTGCAATAAACATGCGTGTGCAGGTAACTTTTTTGTAGAAGGTCACTTACTTTCAAGGACAAGTCAGTTGAGCAAAGTTAGAAAATAGTTTTTAAAAATCTGTACTCTTAAAGTGCTAGAAGAACTGTGTGCTAGTTGGGAGCTTGGTAGCCAAAGACAGGCCGTTAGGTTTAATCAGGCATTCCATAGCTTGAAGATCTCACAGGAAAAACTCACTCACATCTGGCCCAGAATATTTGCTCAGGGGTCTAAATCTAAATGAAATAGATTGTGTAGAGCTTTCTAAAGACCATGGACTAAGTCTCTTAGACCAAGAGCTAAAGACAATAGTCTACGTAAGCAGGTAAGGTATAGAAACTTATCCCTAAAGCAGTCTTAAGAAGCAAGCTGTATCCAAAGTGTTGACACTTGGGTGAAAAACCCTCAAGAACTGGGAGGAAAATTTCTTCCTGAGTTAATGACTTTAAAATCTACCTCGACCCTTAAAAGATATAACTATTTATTTTATAAGCTAAGAGGTTTCTCAATTGTAAAATACACTTTTCAAAAACTCACCTTTACACTTGCCTTCTGCAAACTGATTCTTGATTGAAAAAGACTAAGCTTAGATCTACAATAAAAATAGAGAAATTCACTCAATAAAATTATTGAATTATATAGTAATAAAATAAATATCATAAAACTAAATTTTTTAAACGGCCCCTTTTGAAGACACTGTTACAAAAAATAGAAAAATGAAAAAACCAAGAGTAATGTTAATTTCCCTTATTTTACTACAGGGAGAATTTAATATTATGATAAAATGGGAAATATTGGGATTAATAAAAACATACTGAATAACAAAAAAATTGATGAAGAAAACATTCAAATATGTTGAGGTCTCCAAATAAACAAGACTCATCAAACTATAGGTTATTCCCAGTATTATACCATTTCACATATTTCAGTTCCTGCAAGGTACGGTAGAGAATCCCAGGTACAATCAACCTATGGAGGCAAGGGCTAGCAGGCTTTCAGGGCTGTGTGTGAAAGACTGTAACACCACCAAGGATGTAATCAACAGGCTGTAGAAACTCCTTACTTCCATTACCTCCCCCACTAAAAGTATTGTTTGGGTGACTGCCTGTGTGTCCCATCACTCTTAGTGGTAGGGTAGTCTGGGCTTATTGAGAAAGTCCTTGGACTCTATCCTCTTTGATTTTGTTCTATTTAATCTGCTCTCATTCTGGTGTTCTTATCTCCCTCAACCTTTTTCAGATTGGGAAGGAACCATAATCTAACAATCGGTAGTAAAAACATGTTGGTTTTACCCCCCCAAATTAGGGATAATCATACAGAGATGTGTACATCTCACCATGTATCAAATCATCTAGCAAAACTATAAGTAGTCCAGTTTCACTTCCACTTTCTGATCTTCCTGTCATGTCTTCTTAGAAAAATCATATTCATTCTTCAAGTCTTTATCCAAACATCAAATCTTCTATAAAGTTTTCCCTTATTATTAGACTAAATTAATCTCTATATTTTCTATGCTTTTATAATAGAGTTTTCATATTACTACTGTAAATAAACTATAGTTATTAGGTGAGTAATTTTAGGCATTTAATTTCTTTGAGTTTACTATGAATAAATAAATCATAAAGTTACCTTTAAACACGTTTTCTAGTTTTAAACTTGAGGGCACAAAGCCTACCTTACTCATCTTTGTATCCATAGTACCCAGTATAAAGTAATTATTCAACAAACAGCAAGTAAATGCAGACAAAGAGTCATTTCTTACTCTGTAGTTGAAAAGTCACATATTGAGTTAATATGTCTAACTTGCTCAATCTACTCTAAAGTTAGGCCATGCTAGAAGGCAGTTGCTTGTGACCAGTTCTGTGAATGAGACCTATCAAATTCACACTTCTCAGGAACAGAAGCTTTTTATTATTCTGTGCTTTTCATCCTGTGAGCCATAATTAAATTAGGTATTTACACATGCCCTACAAATCTGTCAATTCTCTGTTCTAGAATTCCTGAGAGTTTAAAAAACAATTTCCTAAAAACAACTATGACAGGATATTCCTAATGGAGATCTCCTCATCTAAAAACTTCAGGTCTTATTGAGAAGATGGGTTCATGGATTCTACAAAAGTACAGGAAATATGCTCAAAAAATAAAACAATGGAGACAACAAACTAAATTAGGGAAATATTAAATATGTTTTATTGTAACATTAAGTACTTGATGAGTATTCCTTTACCACTCCTTGGTACTAAACTTTCCAGGAGTCCCTGAATTTTCACAAGGTGTATATGAGGTTGCTTACATTTCTTGCAGTTAAAAAACATATTAGAAAGACACCTTCCTCCTTGCTGGTATGTTTGTACAAGTGTTCAAAACCTTTCTGATTTCAGGCTGCCTGATTTTGCATCAGTCAGCATACTGAACCAGAATCTAAGCTCTCCTCCTCACAGGCCTCCTAAGAGTCCAGTTCTATAACACAGGTTTATTTTTTTCTCATCATTTTTACCTTTCCTCAAGTTGTCATTGCAAAAATCTGTCTCTCACCTTACATGGCCTTCTATTACCAATTGTCAGTTCCTTCTTTTCCTAGTTATTTTCAAAATAAAGGACTTGTAATCCACATATAGTTAAAGGGAAATTCATGCAATTGCTAAAGTATACATTAAAAATCATATATACTAGAATTTCATGTAAAAGAAAAAACATTGCCTGGGACAGGTTGTCTATACAGAAGTTCTTATTCACTTGACGTGTTTAGGTCTTTCAATGACCTCCTTAAGATCACAGACATTTCAAACTACAATTGACTTAGAGTCTAGCATAAGAAAATGAGGCTTTTCTTTTAGTCACAGTCTCACTCTGTCATCCAGGCTGGAGTGCTATGGCATGATCCTGACCACTACAGTCTCGACCTGCTGGGTTCAGGAGATCCTTCCATCTCAGCCTTCCAAGTAGCCAGAACTACAGGCACACACCACACCAAGCCCTGTTTTTTGATTTCTTGTAGAGACAAGGTCTTGCCAAATTGCCCAGGCTGGTCTCAAACTCCTGGGCTCAGACAATCCTCTCACCTCAGTCTCCCTGAGCCACTACTCCTGGCCTGAAAATCCTGATATTCAGACACCATAGCAACTTTAGGTAGACTTCTTAAAAGTTTTCAAATCTGTAAATACAATGTTCATTTGTCTTCTTTCCTTTTCAAAATTCAATTTAATGTGAAAAACAGAGTCATCAAATATTCTCGTTTTGCTATATCAATTTAAATAAAAATCAGCCAATACAAAAATGTGATCTAGGAGTTAGAGACCAGCCTAGGCAACATAGCGAAACCTTGCCTCTACGTAAAATGTAAAAAAATAAAAAGTAAGCCAGGTATGGTGGTGCACACCTGTAGTTCTAGCTACTCAGGACACTGAGGTGGAAGGATCGCCTGAGTCCAAGAAGTTGAGGCTGCCATGAACTATGACTGTCATGATCATGTCATTGCACTCCAGCCTGGGCCAAAGACTAAGATTCCGACTCAAAAAGAAAAGTGATCTAAAGTACATAACACATGTTGGCAAAATAAAACCAATACTACCTAAGAATCAGTCTACTCGGTAATAACAGAGAACACAGTATTAGCAAAGATAACATTTATTTGCATAATTATTTTCTCAGAAATGCTAAAACACATACTTTGCCTCGATGTCAGCTTTCTCTCGTACTGCGTGAGCCATTTGTTCAGTCTCAAAGTATTTCTTTTTGCCTTTAGCTAAATCTTTCACTGTCTCTTGTAATTCAGTTTGGATCTTTGTCAACTGGTCCATACACTGTAAAATAAAAAAGTACAATTATAACCATTTTAGTTTTCAAGAGTACAGAAAATGACTTTGTCCTAAGGACTATGTGTTCAGGATGGAAACCCAGGAGAAGAATCAGCTATTTTAGTGTCCTTCAAATTGCAAATTACAATCCAGTGAACAACTAGTACTCTCATCTCAAGTACTACATATAGAATAGAATCGGCCAGGCTCAATGGCTCAGCCTGTAATCCCAGCACTTTGGGAGGCCAAGGTGAGTGGATTGCCTGAGCCCACAGGTTCGAGACCCACCTGGGCAACTTGGCGAGACCTCATTTCTACAATAAATCAAAAAATTAGCCGGGTGTGGTAGCGCATGCCTGTAGTTCCAGCTACTTGGAAGGCTGAGGTGGAAAGGTCACTGGAGTCCAGCAGGGCAAGGCTGCGGTGGCCGGGAGTGTGCCACTGCACTCCAGTCTAGGTGACAGAATGAGACTCCAACTCAAAAAAAAAAAAGAACAGAGTCATGGTTTGCCTAACAACCATAATTTGATAAATAACCCAAGTGCTACTGGTGACTGACATTAAGGTAGGCATAAGAAGAAAAACTATGAAAATGTTCTTACTGTTGGAGATATCATGGCAATTAAGGCAAAAGAAAAAAGCAATTCTGTATTTCTTCATAATCTTAATAAAGTCTCCCTGTATGTTTTGGTGCAAAGGGTACTAAAGAATTCACACCTAGGCAAGAGTAAGTAAAATCTGAGAAGCCTGACTTGATAAACCCAAGATGAAGGAGAGAAGCAGGAAACCAGGATACTGCATAAACAATTATTACTCAAAACTATCCCTTACCCAATTCCTTGGATACACATATACATTCTATGCGAAGGGGTGGACATAGTGACTCAAAGAAATGTCTAGGCTGGGCTTGGTGGCTCAGCCTGTAATCCCAGCATTTTGGGAGGTCGAGGCGAGTAGATTGCCTGAGCCTCTGGGTTTGAGACCAGCCCAGGCAACTTGGCGAGATCTCGTTTCTACACTAAATCAAAAATTAGATGGGTGTGGTAGTGCACACCTGTAGTTCTGGCTACTTGGAAGGCTGAGGCAGAAGGATCGCCAGAGCCCAGCAAGCTGACACAGGGGTGGCCATGAGTGTGCCACTGCACTCCAGCCTGGGTGACAGAGTGAGACTCCAACTCAAAAAAAAAAAAAGTCTAATCAATAAACCCTTATAATACACTGAGGCCAAAACAACACGGAACCTTCTGGATATCCAAAGGGGAATCGTTTCCCCCAGTCTGAGAAACAAAACACTGGAAAGTTTCACTAGCATGAGGCTAGCTCAGAGCAGTCACCGTCTTAAAACTTCTGAGCCTGGACTAGCAGTGGTGGAGACAGAACAAAACTCCCTGCTAAGAAGGAGGGGACACTGATAAGGGATTACTGTCAAGGCTGAATAGTGTAAAAGAAAGCAACAACATTGGAAGAGCCAAAATAAAGCAAGAATAAATGTAAACTTACATAGATGACATACAGGTTAGGCTTTCCCAGAAATTGTTAGACGTTAAGAAAAAACTACAAGGGATGAGAGATCTAGATGGTTCTGTGTAGGCAGGTAAAAGCAAAATATTAACACTCACATTTATTAAGCACTTCGTGTCAGGCTGTAAATAAAGTTTAAAAAACAAAATAAAACAAAACTCCCTTCTGCATAAAAACGAGGTCTCTGCTTAACTCTCTTGTCTGTGTTTCAAGAGAAACTTAAGACAGAACGTCAATTGAGTCATTAGGCAACACTGCTAATGAACTCTGACAGGTAAATTGCATTAATCTGGATGAAACTAAACATGAACCATAAGTATCAGATGGAGAAACCATGGCTTTGGGCTTCTGTTAATATGGTGATTCCTGTATCTGAGCATGTGCCTTGCAGGGACCCTTAAAGCTCTATTTCTAGTGCTGTAATAAAATATTTTGGTTTAATTCCCTCACCTCAAACTTATCACCAAACAGAATGACTGGTTGGCTATGTAAACTGAGACATACACTACTAGTGAGAGAATTAATTCCATTAATGACAGATGTCACTCTGCTGGCAAATTTTGTTCCCTGTACTTTGTCCAAGTAAATCTCTTGCCAAGTGTGTCCTATGATAATGAAGAGAGTCTGAATACTTAGTTACACCTAAAAAGACCCACTGTGAGTACTACACATGTGCTGTGTTTCACACTTTACAAGTATTGTCACATTTAGTCCTGTAAACAACTTTGTGAAAATGGTATTAGTAATAGTAGTTCCATTTTAAGATGAGAAAATAGATGCAGAGGTTAAATAATTTTTTCAAAGTAACATAGTAAAGAAGTGATGCCATTTACCATATAACCTATTAAATGTGTAGCCTAGTTTTGTGAAGACCATGTTTTTAAAGTCTCATATAGAGATATTTTACCTTAAAATACAAGTTTTTTTTTCCTTGCTAGAGACAAGTACACTTCCCTCACTATGTTACCCAGGCTAATCTCAAACTCCTGGTGTCAAGCAATCTTCCTGCCTCGGTCTTCCAAAGTGCGGGATTGCAGTCTTAAAATAGTAAATTTTTGAAAAACTGACATACAATTCACATACCAAAAAGTTCACCTTTGTAAACTGTACAATTCAGTGGTTTTTACTATATCACAATATATAGTAACACCGTGATCTAACTCCAAAACAATGTCCTCACCCCCAAAAGAAACCCTGTGCTCATTAGTAGTCACACCCCATTTCTCCTCACCTGCCACCAATCTACTTTCTTTCCCTATGGACTTCCTATTCTGGACATTTCATATAGATACGAATCTATAATATACTATTCGGTCTAATATGTCTCATCTTGTATGTCTCACTTTATTCACTTATCATGTTTTCAGGGTTCATCCAAGTTGTAGCATGTAAAAGTACTTCACTCCTTTTTATGGCTGAATAATATTTTATTGCATGGATATACCAAAAGTAAACCTTTATCTTGCAGAAAAATTTTTCTTTCCTCTTAAATTTTAATATTCCTTACTGCATACAAAGCTCTTGTTTAATAAATGGTATGATGATAACCTGACACTCCCATAGAGAAGTGTTAAGCATCTTAATAATCCCATGTTAGGTTAGGTGTCAAGCACTAAGAGAGTGCTCCACGGCAACAATTTGATAGTAAGAACCCCAAACTGGGTATGGTCTGAAAAATACAAGTATGTTTAATGGGAAAATATGATAGGCCATTTAAAGGGGGAGTCAAATATAAGGTATCCAAAGTGTTTCTAAACAAAAGCACTTGGCCTCTGGAGAACTAATCAATATGGTTCAGGCTAAAGAGAAGCCCAAAAGTCCTGTGGTGAAACATGAGGGAGACCCCAAAAAAAACCCCAGAATTAAATTATAAAAAGATTGTGTATTTATACTTACACAATCTTTCAAAGTTACTTTCAAAGTTACTTTCAAAGTACTCTCCGTTGATGCAATACACTTATCAAGATGCTTTTTCCACTGCTCAAAACAGTTTTTGAACACATCAGTTTTGATGCCCTTTAGTACTTCTGCTGTTTTTTTGTTTCACCCCTTCCACAATGGCAAAACATTTCCCTTTCAGGACTTTTTTCATGCAGGGAAACAAGAAACAACGACTCTCAGGGTGAGACTGGATGAATAGGGAAGGCATGGGGGTCATGTCGTTTTTGGTCAAAAACTGCTGCACACTCACAACAGCATGGGCAGGTGTGCTCGTAAATCATCCATCATGAAATGAGCTAACATGTTGAAAGAATCTCAAAAAATAAAATTCACTGAAGCTGAATGCAGCCTCTCACAACAATGCTAGCATATACACAGATGCCGATGGGTTCCCAGAACACTACCTCATGCGGGAAGCTGATACTGCAAGGGGTCTACCCTTCAAAAGAAATTAGTTTTTTTGGGGGGGGGGGGGTCTCCCCTTGTACATATATTAAAGGGTGTATTAATTTGAACGGGTAAATAATTTGAAAGGAAAGTAAGTACTGTAGGCCAAAGTTTTTCCTGGGTATTGAATACCATCTGGATAGGGTTTCAGTGTATCCATACAAATAGATACTATGGATACTTGCACATGAACACACATACACATATGTACACACACACACACACACAGTCACTCACTCCTTAAATCTCCACTCTTGGAATAACAAGACATCTCTTCTTAGTCCTGAGACTAAACATCTCATGAAGATTATTTAACTGATTTCATCTGTAAAGGGCTATCAATTAACAAATTACTTTTTATATGTGCCACAATACCAGATACATATTGATATTATACTGTATTTTGGATTTTTGCTAAAACAGCAGACTTTAGTCCTCTTGCCACACACACACACAAAAGGTAACTATGAGATAATGGATATGTTAATTTGCTTAACTATAGTAACCATTTCACTATGTGTGTGTATATCAAAACATCATGTTGCATACATTAACTTATACAATAAAAAAGGAATAAGAGACGAAGAAATTATTAAATGGCATTTCAAGATATAGTCGTAATTATCTTGAACACGGAAACTACAGGATGAATATCCATTTTCTTCAATAAATATTCTACAGAGAAAAAAGGAAGTGGATTCTTAAATCAAAAGACATAATAAGCCGGGCTCAGTGGCTCAGTGGCTCAGCCTGTAATCCCATGCTTTGGGAGGCTGAGGTGAGTGGATTGCCTGATCCCACGGGTTCGAGACCCGCCTGAGCAACTTGGCGAGACCTTATCTCTACAATAAATCAAAAATTAGCCAGGCGTGGTGGTGCACGCCTGTAGTTCCAGCTACTTGGAAGGCTGAGGCGGAAGTATGGCCGGAGCCCAGCAGGTCGCAGCTGGCTACCGCACTCCAGTCTGGGCGACAGAGTGAGACTCCAACTCAAAAAAAAAAAAAAGACATAATAAAGATAGAGTAGAAGAATGGTTACCAGGGGCCAGGGGTGAGAGAAATGGGAAGATCTTGGCTAAAGGGTACCAACTTGTAGTTTACGATAAATAAATTCTAGAGACCTAATATACAGTATAGGCGACTACAGTTAATAATATTGTATTTCATACCTGGAGTTTGCTAAGAGAACATCTTGCATACTCTAACCACATACATAAAAAGGGTAATTATGTGAGGTGATAAATATGTTACTTAGCTTGATTTTTGGTAAATATTTCACAAAGTATATGTAATCAAAACATCATGTTGTACAACTTGAATATATACAATTTTTGTCAATTATTCCTCAATAAAGCTGAAAAATAACAATAAAAAAGCCTTGATATGACATATGCACAACTCTTTCAAAACACTTGCCAGCACTGAGCAGACACAGAAATGAGTGTACATTAAGGATTACATTAAGGCTAAAGGATCATACAAATGATGACAAACTTGAATATTATAATTCGAGATTCTACTGAAGAAATTAAAAGCATGGTCCCTGAGTATGACATGGATACGATAGTAGACAGACTTGATAATAAATAAAAACAAAAGTAACCCGGGTCAATGCACCCAAGTCCTACAAACTGTTAGGATCTCTGACCCAGTAATCATGCCCTGGAATTTTATCCTAGGAAAATAATTAAAAGGAAAAAGTTAACTTTTACTGCAGATTTAGTGGTAATGTCTAAAAACAGAGGCATGATTAAATAAAGCAGAATAAATGGAAAATTCATTCAGCAATTTAAAAAATAATCATTAAGAGTGTATAGAAACATGAAAAGTTAATTAGGAAATGGAGAATGGGGGGAAAGAATATTGTAAAACAGTATCTATGTATTAATTTCAATTTTTATAAATTCTAAGACAATAAAAGAAGTAAGAGAATTAAGTAGCCTACTATAGTGAAGAAATTATATGCATATTTCTTAAACCTGTTTGAATATTAAGCTTCAAGTGTTATTAAAAGATTGCACAGGATTTGGAATTAAGTAGTAGTATATTCAAATTTCCAGTAATTCAATTAGATTTAGTGAATGCATTGGAAATCTGAAATGTAAGATTTCCTCCTGGTTAGGAAGATATACTAGTATTAATTCTCTGCTCCTACTTCCTACCCTCTTTTTGTACAATCAGACACAGCTGCACACATACACATACACACACGCATATTTTCTTCCAGCTCAAAATCATTGGTCAGTGGTCACATAGTTTATTCACAATGTTTGCTTTGAAGGAGATCTTCTTTGGCAAAGGTAAAACACAGGCATTCTTTTTTTTTTTTTTTTGAGTTGCAGTCTCACTCTGTCACCCAGACTGGAGTGCAGTGGCCGCTCCTGGCCACCGCAGCCTTGACCTACTGGGCTCCAGCGATCCTTCCGCCTCAGCCTTCCAAGTAGCCGGAATTACAGGCATGCACTACCATGCCCGGCTGATTTTTTGATTTATTGTAGAGATGAGGTCTCACTGCCCAGGCAGGTCTCGAACCCACGGGCTCAAGCAATCCTCTCACCTCAGCCTCCCAAAGGCGCAGGATTACAGGCTGAGCCACCGAGCCCGGCTTCAGGCATTCTTAAAAGTGTTTAAGTCAACTAATATTAGGTGAGTGCTCTAAAGAGATTAACATTTTACATACACACATACATATATTTATCATATTGATTTCATGCTACTGAAATCATCTTTGGTAAACAGTGAAGATTAGAGTTTTTTGTTTGTAAAAAAGTTCTAAAAATCCAAATGTCAGCATCAAAACATTGGATGGCTTCTGAAATATTATTTTCTTAAATAATTATTTTAATATTGTCTTAAGTAAATAATATATACTTAAAGTTTAGAAATGATTATTTCTTTTGCTATGGGTTAGTTCTTCTGATTTTGATTACCTGGGAAATCTCAGATAACTTTAAAACCTGGCTACCATGACAATAAATAAACTACAGGTATGAAATAATAATAAAAGTAATATAACTCACATTCTATACTAAGTATTCCTCAAGTTCTATGCATCCACTCATATTGTTAGCTCAGAAATCTGATTATACTAAAAGACCCATAATACAGTAGTACCAAAGGAAAAGATCAACTTCCAAAGTAAGGTGTGGAAGTGCTCTTTGCTGAAAATAAATGCCATAAATCTAAGTATGTGCATAATTTAATTTCTTTTTTATTTAAAAAACATATGTTTTTCATTTGTTCTCAAGTATGAAAAGTGTTTGAGTTAAAAGTTGATTGCTTTTCATATTTAACATATGAAGTTCTTGATAAACATCAATAAAATTAATTTTTTTTAATTGTGCAGCTGGATGTAAGGTGAAATGTTAAGGAAGAAAATAAAGTTTTTGTGACTGGTCCTGCCTTTAAAAAAAAAAAAAAATATATATATATATGTATATATATATATTTACTTATATATAAATTTTTTTTTTTCCTTAAATGTTAATGCTTCCATAAAAAAAGTAAATTACTTATCAGGCATCATGATAATCTCCATTTTTGAAACTCTATTTCCAAAAAGACACAATTCAACTACCTACTTTCTCTTTTTTTAATTTTTATTTTATTATAGAGATGTGGGGTACAAGTAAGGGTGAACTACACAAGTAGCCTGCATGAAGGTAAAGTTTGGGCCTCCTCCTGGCCCTCAATTCTCCTGGTTTGGGACTAGGTACCCTTTATGTTGTTGCATCCTCCTTTCCTCCCTGCCTCCCTCCCTCCCTGCCTCCCTCCCCAGGCAGTGCCCAGTGACTGCCATCAATAACCTACTTCCAACAGATGACTTTTTAAAAAGTCACATTAAACAGTGATATTTTCCTATGAATTTTATTTCTGTATAATCAAAAAAAAAATCTATTTGAAAAAGTTTACACATGTGTAACCTATATAAGTAAACTCTAGAGTTCATCTGGTTTTTTAAAATAAGTATACTACAGTTAGTCAAAATGTAACAACTTCCTTTAAATTATTATGCAAAATGACCCAAATTGAAACTAAGACAAATTAATGTAAACTTTTCTCAAAAATTAGTGGGATTAATAACATTATAACAATTTTAATATATACCAAACTATACCAATATTGTGAAACTAAGAAGATATATTTACTTGAATTAAGCTAAAAAGTGATATTTCTAAGACATGTTTACTGAGTTTCTGAATGCCTAGAGATTCAAATTTAACTCACCTTTATGATAAAGTAAGCGGGAACATGTTGAAATCAGAAAATCTTAGTAAAATGTCAACCAGAAACATCTGTGAACCATATAGAACAGCTCAATGTTTTAGCACAATTTAGCATAACTTGCAGAATACAGATGCAACACTTATATGTAATGTAAATATAAGAAAAGAACAGAAGTAGAAACAATACCCTTTTTAGTTGCTGTTCTTTTAAGTTTCTCACTGTCCTTGCAGGCTCAGAAATGAAGTTTTTATAGTTTTCACATATATTGATCCGAGACTGGGCTACCTGCATTGTTCCCTCGAGAAAAGATTTCCAAACAGGATACATGCTCCTAAATTCAAAGAGGGATAGAGAAGCATTAGACAGGGGAAAAAAAGAAAAAATTAGCTAACTTTTTCTCACAGGCTAGCACTGGCAGAATGTATGTCTTCTTTATAACTGTAAATGTATTTATAGTAGCTTATAGGCAACATTTCAGCACACCTAAGAAACATGGCATATACTCTATTGCTCTATAGTTCAGCATTATGGAGTTTTGATTCATTATTCTTTTTTTTTTTTTTAAGTCAGAGTCTCACTCTATTGCCAGTTGTGCATGCTCATGACTACTGCAGCCTCCATCTCCTGGGCTCAGGTGTTCCTTATGCCTCAGCCTTCTAAACAGCTGGGACTACAGGTACACAACCACCACGCCCGGCTGATTTTTTTTTACTTATTGTAGAGATGAGGTCTTGCCATGTTGCCCAGGCAGGTTTCAAACTCCTGGACTCAAGCAATCCTCTTGCTTTGGCCTCCCAAAGTGCTGGATTACAGGCATAAGACACAACGCGTGGCCCATTAATTATTCTTAATAATGGAGTAAAGGAAATGCTCAGCCTCACTAACCATCAAAGAAATGCAAATTAAAACCACATTGAGATACTACCTAACTCCAGTCAGGGTGGCCCTCCTCAATAACTCAAAAAACAACAGATGCTGGAGGGGAAGTGGGGAAAAGGGAATGCTTCGACACTGTTGGTGGGAGTATAAACTAATGCAAACTCTGTGAAAAACAGTGTGGTGATTCCTAAAAGATCTAAAAATCAACCTTCCATACCACTCAGCAATCCCCCTTCTGGAAATAAAGCTGGAGGAACTCAAATCATTCTATAAAAAAGATATCTGCACACACAGGTTTATTGCACCATAATTCACAATAGCAAAAACATAGAACCAACCGTGCTGCCCACCGAAAGTGGACTGCATTTAAAAAAAAAATGTGGTACATATACATCATGAATATTATGCAACCATAAAGAAGGACAAAATTATGGACTTTGCAGCAACTTGGATGGATTTAGAGTCTAATACTCAGTGATCTATCACAGAAACAAAGAACTGAGTACTGCATGTTCTCATTTATAAACAGACCCTGAATATTTATCATAATACTATAAGGAAGGGTTTGGTAAGAGCGGGACAATGCCAGGGGAGGGATGGGAAGGTGCACATAATATCAGTAAAAGTACCTGATCTCAAACCAGACAAAATGGGGACCAAAGGGAGTTCCAAACTTTACCTGTACGATGACCACTTATCTACCTAATCCTGAATTGTAACCCACATCTATAAATAATTAAATGAATAAATGAATAAATAAAATAATGGAGTAAAGGGATACAAGAATTACAATTCTAGATAAGGCTAACAATATAAAAATTAGTGAATATTTCAGACATGCCAAGCCTTTCACTGTTACATAGTCATCATTATGAATATCAAGTTTTATTACTTCATTAAAGCACTTTCGTAATTTTACAACTGAGGCTCGGAGAGATTTTAGAGAATCACTCTAGGTCACATAAGAATGTGGCAGTACTGAGATACAAGAGGAAGGTTGAGTACCTCTAAAATTCATTTTCTTTAAATTACATCATATTACTCTTACACAAACTGACATGACTGGAAAAAATATATCATAAGCAACTGCTTATGTGCTTGAGAAGTCTGTTTTGTCTGACAAAATAAATCCATAATATTGTTGTTCTACCTCTGTTTCTCTGTGGTAACAATGCTTAGCTAGCACCATACTGTGTCTTGGAGTAATTCCAAGCAAGTCCCATCACCTTTCCTTTATAAATGTGCTTAGCAATCTCTTCGTAAAGTTAAAGAATTATTCATCTTTTGCTTTTCCTAGCCACTTTCCTTTTCAAACCTTCTCCTCTACTTTGCTAAAGGCCTTAGCCAATTCTAGGATGTTCCTATACCTGTTATAAATACATTTTACAACTTATAACAATTGATGGTACTTTGCTTTTTAAAATGAGTACTTAACTGTGAAATTTTGATATTATAATATTAAACTCTTGAGATTTCCTTTCTATTCATATGGATTTTCTTCTATAACAATGTATAGGACATACAATGTATGGGACTATACAAAATGCTAGTGTGGGTCAAAGATGACAGTGTAAAAACAAGAAAAAGAAAAATTGCCTTGGTTGCTATCCTAATTAGAAGTAAAACACAACAACAAAAAAACTTAACTAATTTCAACCAAGGCGTCTTATGGATTAGTTCTTGTAATACACCAAATTAATCAATTTAGATGGAAATATTCATTATTTATGTACAGGTGTGTCGTCATCCCCTTGGAAAGGTTCAGTGTGCAGTGCCAGCAAAAAATGTCAGCAAAAAAGCATGGATGGATTTAAGAACAGCAAAATTAATGTCCTCTATGGCCTTACTGCATGACAACTGATGGAACTTACAATGTAAACTCACCACAGGCCCTACTAAGCAGTCCATATAACTGATTTTCTCAGAGAATGCACTGAGAGAAAAACTTAGTACTATGCTTTGCAACTGTTAATTTATACTTAAAATACATTTTAAAATCATAATGAAAATGAAAAAGAACTATTGAGAATTGTGATAGAGAGGTATGAAGGAAGGGCCTTTCAGCCACACTCTTCCCTTAGTGTAGCACCCTCTGCACCACCTTTTTTTTAGTTGGAGTCTCACTCTGTTACCCAGGGTGGAATGCAGTGGCACAATCACAGTCACTGCAACCTCAAACTACCAGGTGCAGGTGATCCTTCCACCTAAGCCTTCCAAGTAGCTGAGACTTATAGGCATGTGCCACCACACCTGACTAATTTTTTTTTATTTATTGTAGAGATGAGGTCTTGTCATGTTGCTCAGGCTGGTCTCAAACACCTGAGCTCAGGCAGTCCTCTCACCTCAGTCTCCCAAAGTGCTGGGATTACAGGTGTGTGTCGTGCCCCAGCCCCTCTGGCCTTTATCCCTTCATCTAGTTAACTGCTGTTCACCCTTCAAATCTCAGCTTAAATGGAACTTCCTTTGGCAAGTCTCTCATGATCACCACCAAGCCAACCCTAAAATTCAATCAAGTTGCTCTGTTATTTGTTCATGGCCCCAGTACTTTTCCTTCAATTATATATACAATTATATATATATTTTTCTTTTGAGTTGGAATCTCACCCTGTTACCCAGGCTGGCGTGCAGTGGCATGCTCATGGCCACCCCAGCGTCGACCTGCTGAGCTCAGTTAATCCTTCTGCCTCAGCCTTCCAAGTAGCTGGAACGACAGGTGAGCGCTATCACACCCGGCTAATTGTTTTATTTATTGTAGAGATGAGGTTTGGCCAAGTTGCCCGGACTGTTCTCAAACCCTAGGCTCAGGCAATCCCCTCACCTCAGCCTCCCAAAGTGCTGGGATTATAGGCTTGAGTCACTGCGCCTGGCCCCAACTATATTTTAACAGAATTGCTTAGTTAATGTCTGGTCCTCTTATTTTAGTGAAAATTCCATGAAGGCAAGGGTGTATTCTTACTACTATATTTCTAGGGTCTAGTAAATACAGAATGGCTACAAAATATGTGTTGAATAAATAAATGAATGAATGGTTGAACGTGTAAATTATGAAGACTGTGCAACAAAAAGAGAAATGCTTTCATTAAAAATAATTTTAAAAGAGCACTTTAGAGATTTGCAGATTTACAGAAGGCAAACATATCCTGAACAATGATGTACCATGAAAAAGCACAGAATTCAGTTACCAGTCAGAAGACCTAGGTCCAAGTTCTAATTCAATCAAAATAATCATATGTACTGAACCTCACTATACTTTCACTTCTTCAACTGACAAATGGGGAAATAACAAAAATACCTGCACCATGTATCTCCAAGAGCTATTTTAACAATTATATGCAAATGATGCAAATCTTGGTTCACAGATTCTTTTAAATGAATAAATAGTAACAGCAGCAGAATTGTAACAGAAATAGAAGTGTTACAGACTAAAAAGAAATCACTTTGGTTATATTAGAACAGTCATTTAGAAAAATCTTAAAAACTTTTATTATTTTGTAACTGAGTTGGGCTAAACGTAGACGCCAACTGAATTTTAAAATGAACATTTTCCTACTCCCCTCACACCGCATAGCCTTTCCTGACTGGTAAAAGGGAAGCCAGACCACCTAATAATTAGGAGAACAGCAGTCCAAGGCCAGCAGAAGTGTGTCTGAAAGCCTGGTGCTGGCATTGCCCACCTCCCCTCCACTTGTGAATATGAGGACATCAGACTGTTTATAGACCAGTGCTCTGGAGATAGGAGATTGTTAAAATTATGTTTTAAAGCAATTTAAAGCTATCATTTTCATTGTTGTGACTTGCCCTTTCTTCCAAGTGTTGCAATTGTCTGCCCCTTTCTCTTAAAAAAAAAAAAAACCTGCAAAAAAAAAAAAAAACATATGAAAATTCCAAAATGGTACCTAAAATGTCACCATGACCAGGAGACTTTTTGTGTCATGCCAGTGGTCACCAATCAAAAAATGTTAATGTAAATCTTAAATCATGGTAAAACTGCACGTAAGTGTCAAACTAGGGGTGGGTGAAAGGCTATGAATTTTAGGTATATACTAGAATGAATTTATGTTGCTTCAGACAGGTCTTTTTTTTGGTAATAATGCCAACCCATCTCCCAGTAACTTGGTTGCAGAATAAATTAACCCCTTTTCTCCCAGTTCTCTGACGCTTGTCTTTGGCCATGAAGGAAGCAGTCGATTTATTGGATTGGACAGTAAAAGAAGTACTTCTTGTTAACATAACAGTAGTAGCCCCAGTTGTAGTGGTGCTTTTTCATTCTAATTAAGAAAAAATAATCATGGACTATGGTGATTTTTTTTTTTTTTAATTTCACGGGGGGGG